ATTTTTTTTTTTTTTTTTTTTAGCTTTAAACCATTGCTTCCCGGTTAAAATATGAAAAAAACCCCCAAAACATAAAAAAGTCATCTGGTCTGAATCAGGATAGAAATCTGCACAGATCAAACTCTGTTTACAAGTCAGTCCAAAACAGTTCAAAACAAATATGTGGGTGGATTTTGATGTGAGAGGAAAACAGGAGATGGACTTTTTTTTCACTGGAGGAAGCGTTATTATGGATTATGGACTCGTATTTTGGCCTGAAGAGACAGTTTAAAGTAAAAACGTCTTAGTGATGCATTTGTTTCTTATAAATATGCAGCTATTCACTGCTCAAGATGTTAATTGATGGACTGGAGTGGTGTGGATTACTGTGATGTTTTTATCAGCTGTTTGGACTCTCATTCTGACGGCACCCATTCACTGCAGAGCATCCACTGGTGAGCAAGTGATGTAATGTAATGCTACATTTATCAAAATTTGATGAATAAATAAAAACTCATCTACATCTTGGATGGCCTGAGGATGAGCACATTTGTAGCAAATTTTCATTTTTGGTTGTTCTTTTAGGATGAAACTATACAGAAAGTTGAAGTAGTAGTAGTAGTAGTAGTATACTTTATTGTCCTCAAGAGGAAAATTGTTATGGACTACATGTTGCTGCAGACATACAATAAACATATAAAAAACTAAATTAAATAAAATCAAGATGAACTCTTGTTCAGACTTCATTCTTCTTCATTCTTCAACTCTGGAAAATATGTCTTGAGTGCCCATTTATTTAGGAGAATCTCCTCTGCAGGGTACAGAAATAGCCAGCAGCCACTCCCTCAGTCTCCATAGTTCTGCCACGAGGCGGTTCTATCGCTTCATTCCTCTTGCCGTCCTGACAGAGAGATTTCTGTGCGAGTCTACCCTGCCCCATCACCCCCTCCACCCAGCAGCCCAGGAAATATCACCTGCCACACCCAACCAGCACAGCCACTCAATGATCTGAACAGTTGCCCTGTCCATTTGACTTTGATACGCTCAGTTGGAAAAAAAAAAAAATCATATAACTAAAAAGTGCTGACCAAGTGTTGACTGCTGATTTTAGAGATTAATTAGTATTAGAATTAGCATTACTATAGTATTTATTATTATTTTGAAAACAAATTGCTATTTTTATATTTTCATTTTTATTTTAGTTTTCATAATTTTGTTGATTTTGGCATTTTTATGAGCTTTTCTTTAATAATTTTTTTTTTTAATCATTTTAGTACTTCAACTCAAACTGACTTAACAGCTGTCAACAGTATTTCTAATTTTAATTTAGTTTAAGTTTTACCATCTAACACACACACACACACACACACACACACACACACACACACACACACACACACACACAGACAGGTTTGTTTTTGTGAAAAGTGGGGAGTCTCCATAGGCGTAATGGTTTTTATACTGTACAGACCGTATATTCTATTGCCCTACACCAACCCTACCCCTAAACCTACCCCTAAACATTCCAAACAGACATTCTAAGACAACATCCTGTGCAGAGAGGAAACACACCCTAGAGACTTAAAATCTAAACAATGAATTGGACGTTCCATGGATGACATCATTGAAGAGTAAATTAGCAATAAACTCGATGTAATTCAGAACATCCACTCATTACTTTCAAACAGAGCGTGAGGGCATCATCCACTTCAATCACAAACTAACTGATTACATATTCACTTCTGAGGACCAAAAGGTAGCACATAACTTACGTAATATGAGATTTCAAAATCCAAACATCTTCCAAACACTCCCACACAGCTCACTTGAATAAACTGAATAACAATTGATTCCATCAAAACCAGAAAACCAGTTAGCCCTCCAAACAGCATTTCAAACCCTTGAGATAACCAATCTCTTTGGGCTAAACTGCTGGTTTCTTCAAACATTCAGAGACCTTGAGACATTCAACTTCAGCCTTTTAAAAGAAATCAAAAGACCCTCCTGACCTGCTCTAAAAAAAGAAAAACTAATAACTTAACACACATACTAATACACTAAACCTTAATTAAGCCAACTTAGTTTCCAAAAACACCAATTTTAACAACAGTTATATTGGAATATTCCAATGTTCCGACATTTAGTGTTGGAATATTAACTGTTCCAGTGGTGATGGGAACTTCTGTACCAAATTAATGGGAAAAAAATGTGCATTTAATGACCATTAGAAAGCTATTTTATAAGTATATGCTTATGTGCAACTGTTTCTTGTTTATGCATAACATGTCCTCTTATTATATTGTAAATTGAATTCCCAATGCGTTCCAGTTTTGTTTGTGATTTGGTTCAGTTAATTAAGATACACTGCAACCATGGTTAGTATCACGTGTAGCACTTCTTGCACAATTTAGGTGGTTTTCTGTGCTAAAACATGCTGGCAATGCGCTAAACCATGGTAGCAAACTGTTAAACAATATAGAAATATTTGGCAACATGCTAAAACATACAAGCAGCAAGAAAAATATTAAAACATGTTAGAAACCTGCAAATCTTGCTAAAACGTTAACAATTCGTTTAAACATGAATAAGCTTCTAGAAACATGCTTAATGACGTCAACAGAACAAACTGGCATCTTCTAGAAACATGCTAAACATGCTAGCAACACTTAGCGACATGTTAGAATATGTTAACAAGTTCTAGTAACATGCTAGCAATTATTAACAGCCCTCAGCTTCATGTTCGAACATGCTAAAAGCCAACCCAGGCTCATTTGAAATACGTGCCTCTAAATACATTTCTGCAACACCGATATTATGTACCTTACTGCACGTTTCAAAGTGAAATGTGCAGATAGTGAAACCTATACATATGACGCTGGATATGTGACGCTAACATTCAAAATATCAGTTTTGAAATCTCGCAGCATGTTAAAATAGTTTTGAATATATAACATAATATTCCTCAAGCAATTGTGCGAAAATTAGGCTTTATTACAGTAATAGAAACTGTGGACCTGTAAATCATACTTTGTGTGAAAAGGAATAAAAGTTGTTGGCGTTTTACTGCTTATAGTGTTTATTTCAACTGGAAACTGCAGCGATTCGTATGTATAGGTATGTTTTTTCAGTTTTGCAGAAATGTATTTAGAGGCACGTATTTCGAATGATCCTAAGTTGCTAAAAGCAGTTGGTTGTCTGCTTTTAAAATTGGTTCAAACTTAAAATCTTTTAAATTCAAGATATTAAATCGTTTTTTTTCATACTTTCTGGACAGGCTTTTTATTAGATTGTAAATCTAATTCCCAATGTGTTACACTTCGATGCGATTCAAGCATATCAGCTCATTATCCTACACCACAGCCATGGTTAGTATCACTCCTCGCACGATTTAGTTGATTTTCTAGCACAAGTCACAACATCATGTTTTTGACGCAACAGTGCTGTTTGATTGTCAAAATATCCTGCTGCAGAGCAATCAACTGAAACACGCATTGGTTTGGCAATGCATCTCATATGAGGAACCTTAAAATGACATCTGGAGAGGTTCAAATACGGCTACCAGATGAGCTTGAAGGGAGCAGCTTTGAAGTTCTCATAATTAAAAGCAAATCTGAGCACAAATACAGATCCCACTGAAGTCGGGAGGAAATGACTCCAGTGTTTGGGACAGTGGTTGCTTAATGGATGCTGTTGCAGGAAATAAACATATAACCCCCAAAACATCCCTTATTTTCTAAGATGAGATAGAAAGTGGGGTCCCACTTTATATTAAGTGGCCTTAACTACTATGTACTTACATTTAAATGAATCATTTGGTACAATGCACTTATTGTGTACATACATGTTTTTACATTGTACTTATACTTTAAAAATGCCTGCATGTAATTACATCTGTAATTAATTTCTGTAACTACATTTATAATTACACTGTTGACCCATACACTGTGACCCATGTAAGGACACCTTAACCCACACTTAAACCTACCCATACCACCAAACCTGTCCCCAACCTCACCCGTTTCCCACCTCAATAGCAGCAAAAGTGTTTTGTAATATGAACACAAAAAGTACATTGTACTTATTTTTTGATGTACACTCTTAAAAATAATGGTGCTTCAAAAGGTTCTTCACAGCGATGCCATAGAAGAACCATTTTTGGTTCCACAAAGAAGCATTCAGTCAAAGGTTCTTTAAAGAACCATCTCTTTCTTACCTTTTTGTAATCTGAAGAACCTTTTTTCACCACAAAGAACCTTTTGTGAAACAGAAAGGTTCTTCAGATGTTAAAGGTTTTTTATGGAACCATTTAGACAAAAAGGTTCTTCTATGGCATCGTGAAGCACCTTTATTTTTAAGAGTGTAGGTACATAGTAGTTAAGGCCACTTAATATAAAGTGGGACCGAAAGTGGAAAGTAAACGCTGGGTTATTTTTCATCTGAAAACATTACTGTACCTGTGAATGGCATCTTCTAGTGTCTTGACGTGAAGTTCATCTTGCTCGACCTGTTTCCTCCGACCTTCATCTTCCTCTTGTGGCATTGCTGGTGTCCCCTGCAGAAGCCATCTCTCCCTCATGGCTTTAGACTGTAAGACAAAGACATTTTCTACAGTTAGGTAATTGAACTAGTTCATCGGTGGCCAACTTTGGCCCTGGGAAGCCACATTCCTGCAGAGGTTTGCTCCAACCTTGATAAAAACTAGCCTGCCTGTAGTTTTCTAGAAACTCTTAGACCTTGATTAGCTTGTTCAGGTGTGTTTGATTAGGGTTGGAGCTGAACTCTGCAGGACTGTGGCTCTCAGGACCGACGCTGGCCAGCCCTGATCTTAGAGGATTTATGAGGTGTTCATCACACACGTGTTTGGGATTGACAAAAGTCTTAGTACTGCAAGAGGTGTGAATCATGTACATAATACAGTTTGCAGGAGACAATCGGCTTTTCTGCCATATTGCACATTTCGCGGCAGTTTCAATGTGAAATGTCCAGTAAGTTGCCCTAAAACACACCACAGATGTTCACAAATACATTTACTGATGCGACCATGCAATTTTTACTTCCTATTTTAATGTGGGTTTGAGCTGTTTTATTGAACCATACAGTAGTTTCACCGTTTTCGTACTGTAGCGCTTCACCTCACAAGTGCAATGCCATATTGCATGAACTACCTAGCAAACCTATTTAGAAAACCCATACATATAAAGCTGTATATGTGACACTAACATTCAAAAGTATCAGTTTTCAAATCTCGCAGCATCTTAAAATTGTTTTGAGGTCATAACCTAATAATGCGCAAGGAATCATGCGAAAAATAGGCTTTCTTAATCGAAACTCGGGCCCTGTAAATCATAACTTGTGTAAGAAAGAAATAGAAGTTGAGTTTTACTGCCTCTAGTGTTCATTTCATCTGGAAACTGCTGCAAGTCATACGTATTGGTACGTTTTTGAGTTTTGCAGAAATGTAGCTAGAGGCACGTATTTCCAATGAGTCTTTAGGTAGTTTAAAGGGGTTGGATGGGCTTGGGAGGCTGGGAGACCTGCTAAACCAAAGTCAATCACGTATTTACATTATTGTATGGATTGTTGCTTACCACAGAAAAAAATACTTTATATGTGCATTGTTTGACATATAAGTTCAGAATATACTGTAAATATCATGTGATGCCAGATTCTCATGTAAACTTGAATACATTTATAACCTGTCCAACATGAACAGCTGTTAACAAAGTCACCAGCTGTGGTTGAACTGACTCTGTGTGAGCTATGTGAGCTATGAGGTCTTTCAAGACCCCTTACGCCTAGTCATCACCTCCATGAAGATCAACCACAGGAACTCAGGACTGTTTCACAAGCTGCTGAAGGTATGCAGTCTTAGATTTCAAGACTTCCCACATGTTTGGCTTCAACAAACTCAGGCTGTTTTAAGACTGTTTTAAAAGCATTCATTTTCAGATCATCATAACTTGATGATTGCACTAAATTCTTGCTAAAAGCAGTTTTGTGTTTTATTGCATGACTCTCTGGGATACTTGATTGTAATTGGCCAATTATGACATTCTGCCAACAAATATATAGTGACCACTACACTGTATAATATTGTCTAAGGCACCACTTCCATACATAGCGCTGTTAGTTTCATTTCATTTGATCATGTATGGTCTGCCGGTCATTATTGCAAAATAAAGCTCTTCTGGGAGACACAAAGCCTTATTTTGAGCACCCTGTGGGATTATTTTGCAGTAATGGTTGGTTGCTTGTATATTATGCAATTACATTAAAGCTACTTGTTCTTGTTCTTGTTTATTTATTTATATAGCACCATTTAAAACACAACCGAGGTTGAACCAAAGTGCTTTACATAAAAAATACAAGAATAGAAACAAACATTGACAACATAAAACACCACATCGACATATAAAACACCACATAGATCATTGTATGCTACCAATATTAGATGTGCTTTCAACAGTTTCTTAAAAATTGACAGTGATTTGGCAGACCTGATCGGCAGGGGCAACTCATTCCAAAGTCTCGGCCCTATCACAGCGAAGGCCCAATCGCCTTTATATAGGCGATTTGTTCTAGACACTACAAGTAATTTTTGATTCTCTGATCGTAATGTTCTAGGAGGATTATATGGGATTAAAAGGTTTGGCAAATACAATGGGACCTGGTTGTTTAAAGATTTGAACACGAACAATACAATTTTATATTTAATTCTAAGATGGACTGGGAGCCAATTTAAAGAAACTAACACAGGGGTAATTGATTCATATTTCTTTACCTTTTTTAGTAACCTCGCCGTAGCATTTTGTACTGATTGTAGTCGAGACAAAGATGTGGCGGTGATGCCAGAATACAAAGAATTGCAGAAATCCAGTCGTGATAGAATAAAGGCATGGATTACTCTTTCAGAGTCTGAGTTTGTTAAGAACGGTTTAACTTTGGCTAATAAACGCAAATGATAAAAACCAGAGTTAATTTGCTTATCTAATTTTAGGTTATTATCAATTAGGAAGCCTAAATCTCTTACAGTTTTTTTCAAATATGGTGCCAGAGGGCTCGCATCTAATAATTTTTTTTGTGGAGTTATTTGGGAGGATAAAAACAATGACCTCTGTTTTTTCCTCATTTAGCATTAAACAATTTTTCGGTCCTTTAAACACTCTAGAAATTACTCAAATTAATTTGTGGAATGTCTGAATGGTAAATACATTTGCGTGTCATCGGCATAACAATGAAATGATACACCATACTTTCTAAAAATGCTGCCCAGAGGGAGCAAGTATAAAGAAAAAAGTATAGGAGAAAGGATAGAGCCTTGCGGAACCCCCCAAGGAAGATGTTTTTTAACTGAGATTTTATTATTATAATTAACTGAAAAACATCTATTGCTCAAATAGGACTGAAATCATTTTAAGACTGTACCCTTTAGCCCTACTGAATGTTCAAGACGGGAGATGAGGATGTTATGGTCGATCATGTCAAAAGCTGCACTCAAATCAAGCAACACCAAAACAACATAATCTCCTTTGTCTAAGGCCAGGAAAATCTCACTTAACACTTTCAATAATGCTGTCTCATTGCTGTGGGCTGTTTTGAACCCTGATTGAAACCTTTCTCCTAAAGAATTTTCACTTAGAAATGAGAGCAGTTGTTGCAATACAACTTTTTCTAAGATTTTTGAGGCAAAGCACAGCTGAGAGATTAATCTGCAATTCTGCATTTCATCCTGAGCTAAATTTGGTCGTTTTAGCTGAGGTGTCACCACATCATGTTTAAACTCTAGTGGACATATTCCACTAGACAAACTTTTGTTGATCAGATGTGCTAAACTCAGTGATACGCAATCAAAGGTCTGCTTTAACAAACGACTAGGTATGAAATTATTTGCACAGAATGTAGGTTTCATTTTTTGCACAATATCCTGCAGCATAGTCGAAGTAATAGGATCAAAAACCCTCAATTCAGCAGTGCAAGCAGGATAGTCAGATGGATCAGTTTTCACCAGAGGAATCTGCGCACGTTGATCAGCAATCTTTTGACTAAAAATTTTTTGAAAGTCCTCACAGGAAATAACTGAGGACTTTTGATACACATTACTCAAAGGTTGAATTACAGAATTAAGGACACGGTTATTATCATTTAGCCAAGGATTTATCTTTAATTTATGACTTGTAGGTCTTAGTGGGGCAATGCTATCTAAGATGTCCTCACAAGTTGATTTTAATAGAATCCAATGATCATCGGCATTTAAATGCTGTAGAGGTGTTTCCAGCATAGATATATTACATTTTGTTTTAAACAGCGCAGAAAATTCTACATGGGAAGTACTACTTAGTCTCCTTGACCAGCACAAAGAGTCTTCTAGATAAACAGGTTGAATGGCAATAAAAGTCTTAAAAAGGATTGGCATATGATCAGAGAAATTAGTTTCACAAACAGTTACGTCATCAACTTGCAAATTATGGATTAAGATCAGATCTAACATATGGCCTAATTTGTGGGTGGGGCTTTTTACCCATTGCTGCAAATCGAATGACTCAATCAAATTTATAAATTCACTTGAAAGCATGTCATTGCCACAACAAATATGGACATTAAAAATCACCCAATATTAAAAAGCGATCAATTTTGTGTAAATTTCACTCAAAAAATCGGAAAATTCCTGAACAAAAACTCTATTTGTTCTCTGCTATCAGGATTCATAGGTATTTTTTCCATTCATTTTCCATTTATTAAAAAAAATAAATAAATTCACGAACCAAACCAATCAGCTAAATTAAACCAGATTAAAACTCTTGATTTAAAGCAAAAAAAAGAAAGAAAAATATTTACAAATTAAACAAAAAAGACAAAGATACAGGATTGTGTACATAAAAGGAAAGAATCACAACCCCATGAAACATTGCAAATGTCATAATCAAATGTAAGAAGATGGAGAAACAATCTACTATTTACAGATGTTGATTGAGACAATGAATAGGATTTTTACTTTTGGAACCTGTCTCTTGTGCTTTATTTAAAGGGGTCATGAACTGAGAAATCAAATTTCCCTTGATCTTTTGACATATAACAGGTCATTGTACAATAAAAACATCCTGTAAGTTTCAAAACTCAAAACTTTCTAATTCGTTTAAAACAGCTTTTATTGCAACCAAGCTCAGAAAACGACTTGTTTTGGAATGTGCCACTTTATGACATAATAGTGCGGTTAAACACTAAACACTGATACGCAATTGTAGCAGAAGGAGAGGAAATACTAGCCACTCACGTCTAAAAAGAGCTCCAGATCGCGTCAATGAAACAGTTTGTTTGTTTGCTTTACTTTGTTACGTATTCGTTTTTAAAGACGACAGTTTGACGCAGGCTTTTCAGAGAGACTGAAAGTAAAAGACTGAGTCTGACTATATTGGATCCAACAGTAATGTCGCACACATAAGTGTGAGTAAACGCGCCTTTACCACTATTGCATTGTCTTTTCCAGACCGTTTGATATATACTGAGTATTTATATGTTTTTAACCCAAAGTACGTCAGAGCAGTGTCCATCTGTTATTTTAATAAGCGAAACTGTCAGCCAATCATAGCAGTGGGCGTTTATTTGCGAGTCTTGAATGTGCCCCACCTATAAAAATGGACCGTTCTGAAGAGAGGCTCAAAAACAGGATATAAAATAGCCTATTGCTTCTAAATTATGATTTTTATTATGTAAAATCCCCACTAACATTATAAGTAAACCTCAGAGAACATTATAAAATAATAAAAAAATGCAGTTCATGACCCCTTTAAAAGTGGCAAATAATTGAGTTTTGTTTAGTATCTGCACAGCATAGCCTACTTTTCTTTACTGTATGCTTACAATTTCACATCATATTTTTTCCATGTATGAAAAAATAAACTGAGATACAAATATTTCTGTTGGCCCTCAAAAATCTAGACATATATCACAGGCATTGCAGCTGTACTTTCCGATGAGAACTTGCTTCAGAAGCTGATTACACCCACTACTAAACAAACATCTTCCCGGATACGCTCCTCTTTTTCAGTCAAGTCCTCACTTTGAATTTAGCTCTTTGAAAAAAAACACTCACTTCCTTTTCATTACGATACACATTTGTGCATATGATTAGCTATAGCTAACGTCAGTGCTGTTGTTAGCTGTTGTGTGCAGTTCTTCATGAAACATAAGTGTTCACTGTTATCTTTTAGTCTCTGGGCAGTCTTTACAAAAGTCTCACAGTACGACAGCGTTATCAAATCTTTTGCAGTCATTGAGAATAAGTGTTTCTTTTCCCTCACATCCTTCTCTCCAGTGGCCTAGACAAAATCTCTTTCATGAGTGACTTTAAACCAAAGGCTGTGTTTTTTGTGTAAACTAACTGCCATAGAATTTGGGTGATAACACCACAGAGTAATTCTGCATAAATGAGGCAAACCCCTGGCTATCTGATAACACACTCTTGTGTTGCCAGAATTGATTCAGACATGTTCCCCTGACGCCGACTCGCACAGAGAGAAAAAAGATTATCATCAGGACAAAAATTCAAAGATTACTTTCTAGTAATTTCCAAACCCAAATTTGATTCCACTGTCCTACCTTTACCCATTGTATTATTTAGGTCCAACTAGTATGTGTGCATCATCAATGTAGATAGCAATGTTAGATGTTAGCTAGGCAGTGATTCAGGAGTGAAGATTCTCTTTAGGATTCTCTTTAGGATTTGGATTTACTGTACCACCAAAACAAACACTGGTTGACATTTGCATTTGTCTGCTGCAGGAGATGCAATGAATCGAAACTGCTCACCAAAGGTAGCTTATGAGAAATGTGCTATACTAGCCAGAGCAATAAAAAGATGCAAATGTTATGGCATCAAATGAAGCTTCATTTCTGCATGTTCAGTTTCAAGCACACAGATTCACATCAGAACCAATCTCTTGATGTCAAATGAACTCAAAAGCCCTCAGTGGTCCACACCAAAACTCTTTTGTGGAATTACCCTATAAAACAACTTTGGAGAACATGATGCATTGATATGTAAACATATAGGAAAACATATTGAGAGCTGACATTTGAATGATCAGTTTGCTGTAATGGTGCAATGTCAAACTTTCAGATGTGACTTGAAGAGTTTTTTTTTTTACCTTGAAATGTTGAAGTTGTAGAACAAGTTCATCGAGTTGTCTTCTTTTGTCCTCTATCTCGGCTTGTCTTTTCCGCTTTTCCTGAAAATATATTAGAATTTTTTTTTGTTAAACCACTGAGAGTAACATTTGAATGATTTTTTAATGATAACACTGTTGAAAAAACCAGCATACGCTGGTTAGGTATGTTTTGACACTGGGATGCTGGTTTAACTTGGTCCTTTGCTGGTTTGTGCTGGTCCTTTGCTGGTTTTAGCTGGTCCTTTGCTGGTTTATGCTGGTCCTTTTGCTGGTTTATGCTGGTCATGTGCTGGCAAAGGACCAGCATAAACCAGCAAAGGACCAGCTTAAACCAGCATCCCAGCGTCAAAACATACCTAACCAGCAAATGCTGTTTTTTTCAACAGGGTTTGTGGAGATCAAATCCTCAGAGTTCTTAGCCACGAGGTACCAAATTTTAACTGCTCTATTACAAGATACACAAATTTGTATGGTCCTGTCAAGCAGACAAAAACATGAACATGATGAATAGGACGTGGCTTTGCATGGTTAAACGACATAGTTATCACTTAGGGGTGTACTTACTTTTGTTGCCAGTTATTTAGACAACAATGGCTGTATGTTGAGTTATTTTTAGAAGACAGTAAACCTGTACTGCTATACAAGCCGCACATTGACTACTCTAAAGTATCCTTTGCTGGTTTATGCTGGTCCTTTTGCTGGTTTATGCTGGTCATGTGCTGGCAAAGGACCAGCATAAACCAGCAAAGGACCAGCTTAAACCAGCATCCCAGCGTCAAAACATACCTAACCAGCAAATGCTGTTTTTTTCAAAAGGGAAGTAAGTAATTTTCTGTGACAATAGGGCCAAATAATTTCAGCTTGCCGATTTGAGTGGGTTTTGGCTTTGTTTTCCTATTGACTTGCTCTCTATGTAACGGTAGTCACGGAATAAGGAATGCAAACACTTCAAAATAGACTTTACTGAGAATGCAGGAGTTGATTACTCAAGACAATAACCGACAAAGGACAGAACCGAATAGGGAGTACATATACAGTAGTCAACATTTGAAGTGGATCAAATCCTTTCATCAAAGATGTCCTAAAACCAGTACAATCCGTTCTTGTCTTAGGACAACTTTGATGAACTTCTTTGATCCACTTCAAACGTTGACTACTGTACATATAGTAAATGAGGGAACTAAACAGGAACAGCTGGACAAGGAATAACTAATCAGTAACGATAGAAACTAAAGAGAACTCATAACAGACATGACAGGAACCAAACTAAACTGAACATAACCGTGACACTCTGCAGTCCTCATACATTATTTGTATGCATATTTGCATTGTTTTGATCGTTCTCTGTAGGTCCCACCTTCTCGCTCGCCACAATTAGTCAATAATGCACAATGCCTGCATGTTATTGGTCAAACTTTTCAATCATTACCTACAGCAAGTATGAAAACAATTGGAAAACAAAGTCAAAACCAAGATATTTTTAGGCAATTTAGAAATCCCGGACAGGGCATGTCTTGGAAAAAGAGGACAAATGGTCACCCAAGCTTAGTAGTGCATGCAGTGAATAGCTAAATACTTAAGCAGCTGTTTCACTTCTAACAACAACTGACTAAAAACAGGAAGCCATCAATTTTCAATAGTGAGCTGGGCAGAAAGAATTGTTTAGGTTATTTAAATATTCACATTTTCTTCAGAAAAATGTGACAGTTTGGTTGAAAATATGACCCACTGGAACAACACATTTACAAATGCTTGTCCACAACTTTGCAACACTGTGTATAATATAAACATATCACATCATACCCTAAACTCACCAAGTTTTTGACAGCCCGTCTTTGCAGGTGATATAATTCTTATTCACTTTACATGACCAGAGAAGCCCATAGAGGGAAACTGAGCCATATATGTACGTTACTGAGGTTCTTGAGTGTGTGTTCAAATATCTTGGCTGGCTCTGACACAGTTCACGAGCGCATTCCAGCGCCGAGTGCTGCTGCAGTCAGTATGTGCTCTCCTGTGAGCTCCACAGAAGGAAAACTGATACGTTATCCAGATGTGAACAAATGTGCCTCTAAAAATGGACCCTTACATATCAGTCAGTGAGTGATGCCACTGGATTTCACAGGAAAGCTAACTGATAATGGTTTCTTATGTCTTCTTTTAAAAGCTGAGCACTGAAATGGAAACATAATCCCTGATTTTGACATGTTGAAAAAGAGAAAATAAGGGGAAAGACCTGATTACCTTCTACTCCAGAGAAACCGATTAGGTTTTTAATTTAAAAAGCATATACATCTTTACAAATCCTCTGATGAATAGTCAGACATGAAACGTCCAGCAAGAGATCTGTCATTTATAAGTGCAAGATGGAGAAACTTTGTCTCAGAAAGACTCTTTTAATATCAATTTTATCAATAAAGAAATTCAAATGGGGATAATTTGTAATTTTTGTAAGGTGAAATTTAGTTATGTCAAAAGTCTTTGTATTAAATCCAGTACTGGAAATGATGGTGTAACAGTAATGTTCTTCTCTTATCTACTGATTACTGTGTATATATGTGTTTGTATATTAATGTGGTTTTTCTAAGGAATTGATGAATACTGACATCCTGTTGAAATAGCACATGAACAGCACACAGAAAAAACAACAACAGCATCAATGCAGAAGAAGAGAGATTATTTTGGCATCATATCTCATGCCCCCTTGTGAACAGTCATGCCAGCTGGAAGTGCTCACTATGTCTCTGTCAACTTCATTCATCCGGGCCAAGAAAGTTACCACAATAAACTGCAAAATATACACTTTGTAGGATGATTGTCATTCTGGCACCTGGAATATAAACTCTGGTATGTTGGAATAATCATTTTTTAATTCCAAATGAAATTTTATCAGCCAAGACTATAAATATAAGGCTTAACTGTAAAACAAACACACTTCTGGTTAAACCAGATTATACACAGCCGCCTTTTCTGAATGTGTTTTTTTTGTCTTTTCAGCTTGGACAATTTTAAGGCCTAAAAGTATTACATATGTACTTTTATGATGTGAACATGTCATAAACTTAAAATCTTATATTAAGATTAAAATGATATCTAATGTTAAAACTGATTATAATTGTTGCTTTTCCATGTATTTAAGAATAATGTGCATGTAGTATGTATGTTTTTGTGAGTGTGGCTCTAGCAACCTTATTAAACGTTATGGGTTTAATTTCCAGGTAGCACACAATAAAAAACGTTCCCCTTCGGGAACTCGAGCTGCGTCGGAAAACGCTAGGGGAACGCCTTCAGCGATACCAAGCTCTGAATCATATGTGTAATCAGTCGAACGATGGGCGAGACGTCAGCGGCAGGTGACGTCATGACCAGGAAGCTTTAAAAGCACGTGAGGTGCAGCCGGCGCTAGCTTTCTGTCATTCAGCTAAGCTCTCTGTGTGTGTTGGTCACGATTTATGTTCTGTGAGTCTTATTTATTGTTGTCTGTCCAAAGTCTATAAGCTCCAGCTATGTCTAAGCTCATGCAAGGACAAAGCATTTCCCCTATTAATGTGCTATAGATGTCTTTGGATTAAAGTGTGGGGCAAATTAATATATAACGATATGGTAAAAATATCAAAAGGAGAAGTATGCTAATATGTAGTTCTGAATCTAGGAAGTGACAATGAACCCCAGAACAGTCAGAAAAGCAGCTCATTTCAAATAGCCCAAAATATTTTAGTAAAACAATAGCTAAAATATATGTAAATGCAGTAACACTTTAGATTAGGGAACACTATTCACTATTAACTAGTTGCTTATTAGCATGCATATTACTAGACTGTTTATTAGTACTGTAGCGTCTGGACCTATCAGACACACCATTTTTCATTTGATTAACAAATCAATTATTCATTAGATTACCAAATCGTCACAGTCCCCTCACCAAATAAACTGGATGCCAGGATGTCGGCAACGACACCAGGCCCCCCCCTGGTTACCATGGCAACCCTGACACCAGATACATTTACGACCTAATGGAATTTAGGTGGAGAAATCACTGTCTTTTCCATAAGGAACCTCCCCAAGGCACAGTAGGAATGGACTTTTCTACTAATTAATTCATAGGAAAACTTTTATTTGAATGAACACACATAGCCTTCAGGTCATTGTGTATATTATTGCTGTCTTGTATATTATCTGTTGTATTGTAGACTATTAGTATGTTAGACTAGTTTAAGTGTTTATGTAGTTAATAAAGTCTTACTTGTATCACACTTGACGTTGTTTATTGTTTGCTCATAACTGTAGTAACTCAATCATGCCGATTTATGCTACAAGCTCTGTGTAGAGTTGTACAGTAAGAAAGTTATTTCCTTTAACCAGGAAATTAACGTTCTTAGAATTGACAGACAGTTGACCCTGAGAGGTCAGCTAAATATCTACAGCGGATCTAAATATTTATAATTAATTATAACTAGTTATGATTAATTATTCATATTTCCCCATGAGCTGATTCGCTACAGTACTTATAAAGCACATTTTAATGCCTTATTCTGCATGACCATATTCTAGATCCCTTAATCCTAAACATAACTACTACAACAATATCTTAAATGCAAAACCATACCATAAAACATAAACTTAAATTTATATTTAAGTTATATGTGTGTGTGTTAGCAAAATATTTGAGATTTTTTTGGGCCTCTTGATTTTTAAAAATGTATCACAAAGCATATCAAAATTTGTTTATGTGCTGAACATCACGGTTCTGTCCTTTATAAACGCAAATGTTTTTTAATGTGCATCACAACAACGTCAACTCTGAATCTATGCAAGCAATTTCTCATGTGACGGCAGGGTTGTAATTACACCGGCAGAGCGTTCGTCACTGGTTACATGCCCTACGGACTGGCACGACACTCCACGCCCCTCTCATCTGGAGAGAAAACTAAAGCCAGATCTATTTCACACCAAGTATGCGACACATTCCAGAGCTCAGAGTGACATACAGGAATAGGCCAGCAGCAAGAGACGTTCCTCATCACGGATCCATAAACTGTGACCCAAACATCTTGAAATAT